AAATCACGTGTATCCTTGTGTAAATCCGTTTCTCGCCATGGAAGCCGAAAGTCCTTACGAGGCTGTGACGGAATCCCCCGAATCCACGTCGGTGTGCGAGTACGACGCGGCGATCGACGTTTTGGAGCAGGCGTTGTTTAGCGAGCAGTTCCAAGGATTTCAACAGCGGTACTTCGACACCCATTGCGACTGCTTCAGCGACTGCGAAGAAAACAAGCTCTGTTACATGGAGATTTTTCAGGACTACGTCAACCAGGTCGAGGAGTTCATCGACGAAAAGCTACGGCAAAGCATAAAGGCTTTTGACATGAACCGCTTCGCGATGTGGCTCGAGAACCACCGACAAGAAGTACAGGGCGACCTGCCAGAAATCGTCGACTGTTTGACCGACTTCGTCTGCTTCAAAACAGCCATGCTGGAGAATAAGAAAAGTCGCCACCGAGAATGCAACTTGAACGTTTCGAGCGGACGAAAGTGAACAGAACCAACCAATCTTACAGAAGTATATTCTGAACGTTCAACGACCTCTGGTTGCTGAAGATCGACTGTGCAATCAGCATCTGCATATTAATTGTAGCGACTCTTGTGTATGAGACTCGTTCATAACTCTATAGCGACAATTTTATTTCAGCAATACATATACTGTTGCTTCACGTTCAGCTATATGCTTTATAGAGAAATGGCTAATTTTATATCATTCGTTATCTGTACAAACCAATCAGATTCCAGGACAGATGATTCCTTCCTGACAGTGCGTAAGTGAATCAGATTATGGGAGCAGAGAGTTCCTTTCTGTTTATATGCAAATGAGACCGACGAATTCCCATTGTTATGAACTCTTCTTCTTGGCTCTTGCCTTCATATTGTGTCAGTGTTGCTTGACCGCGGAATGTACCCACGCTGAGAAAAACTGGCACACGTTGTTCACGTCACCAGCCTCACTGTTCTCTAGATCAGGTGGTCAGACACTAAAATCACAGGAGCATATTTGTCAGCAGGACGTGTTGATTTGGATTATGGCCTGAATCAGAGATATGCTCTATGAACTTTAACATTTAGAAGGAAGAACAATCAATCTCTCCATGATATCGCTGTCACTAGCTTGACTCATTGTTTCTAGACAGGTGTGAGTAATATTTAAATTGGTCAGTTACATAGTGATTTCTTGACCTGATAATACTGTGATGTGGTCCAAAACGTCGGCATCAAACAAAACAAATTTGTCGTCTTACTTCTTTGACTTTAGCCATCGCATCAGACGACCGCGTGTCATGAAGAATTTTTTGTCTGAATTATTTCTAGAGCTTTGGTTGTTTTTAATCAGGGAATGAACAGTTTCGAAAAAATTTGTCATCATTCCTTATTAGCATTGTAATAATCTACGATGGCTGACTGCAAGAGAATTTTTTTTAGGCTAGTGAGGGCTGGCAGGTCCAACTGAAGCCTGACCCGTCGAACAACGTTTCAGTGCAGTTTATATAAAAAAACTTTTGACTTGCAACACGTCGGAACATCACAACTGCGTTTGAACTACCGCGCTATATTAGACGGCAAAACCTAACTCTACGAATATAGAGCAATTTACAGGCCAACGTTTCAGGCAGATTCAGGGGTTAGGACGATCACAAAAAAATAGCTTCTGGTTTTCGACGAGTGACCAGTAGAGAACCGAAAGCCATAGTTTTTCTACAGGACCGGCCAGCGCCAGGAAGTGGGCATAATGCTGAGTGATCTGTACAGCATATACTGGTCGTAACTGCTCAGTAAACTGTTCATCATGCATCGTCATATGAAAGACCGAACGCCGGTACTCGATCAACCACTGCAGATGAGCTGCAAGCAGATAAAATGAATTAACAGGAAAGAAACTGAACACCAAACATGATTATCCTAAACTATCCCTATTAACCTAAACTGAAGAAACTATGATAAACTCCTTTCACGATGCCTGCTCTGAATGGCGAATGGAAAACTGTAGTATTACGCTGCAAGTAAAGTTAAAATTGAGGACGTTCAAAACCGGCGGAAATGAACACCACTGACTCAAAGGTGGCACAAAACTAAGTATTTAGCCAATCTTCTTCTGAGCCCAGGAGAACGCTTCCTCAGCAGAAGCTCAGTAAGACTTAAGTGTGCCGGAAGTCCGCATGAAACTGTTCTATTTTAATAACAGCAAACGCAATCAACAGCACAAATATGCAACAGTTCTCTTCAGATTCTTTGGTAACTTGCACGTAATGTACAAAGAGGTTGAGAGGCTCCTAAGACGCTAATGTTTCATTGTCTTCGTTCACAACACCTAAGTTTGAGGTCTCGCCCTCTTCTTTCCACTGGTCGTAATTTTCATTGAGATGATGCAGTAAGTCCGTAGTGCCGCAAAGCTCTAAAACGCCCGTACAATTTCCATGGTCTGTGATGAGAGAAAACGGTTCTTACGACACCACAGTTCCATCATTTCTCTTATGAACATATCGGTAAACCTGCATTGCGTCAGTGGAATATTGCACGTGTTCCGGTCGAAAACTTCCATTGTCAAAGGAAGGCTTTTGGCCCGTTCTTCATCAGTCTTAATTACAGAACGTGAGAAAGTTTAAATCGAGAGCATAATTAACTTAAAACAGCAAAGCTATTTATTTTTATCAATTCATAACCAATAATTTAATATGAACTACTGACAGTATAAAAAGTCTGAAGCATGTGGACATTTAATAATACCGGTATAATCAAACTGAGTACAACGCCAATGAGTAAATATTAAACAATAAATTTTCTAGATTGAGGAACAAGCTGCAGTAATCCCATGTATTCAGCAAGCATGAATCACCTATCAGCCTTGAAAGCCTCGTTTCTGGCCTCTTGATAAAATGTCCAAGTCATTGCAATTCTGATTTTTTAATTTAATGAAAGAACGTATCGCAATCAAAGATATTCTGAATGGACATATTTTGGACTTTGACGAACCTCAGACATGTGAATAAACTTTACTAAGCCTTACGGACATTTGTCATTAACATTCAGCATTGATGAGTATATATGACAACTGGGGCGTCAACCGATGTAGCAGCCATAATTAACCGGATGACCTTAAATTACGCAAACCTTCCTTATCCTTGTAGCGGGATGCGGCTAGAGCGGGTAGAGACACTGTGCCATGGCGAAAACAGGATGCTGCTGTTCTGTCTCAGACGCCTTGTTCAGGTTGTTGCGGAAAGGAAGCATTGCGCAACCGTTATCATGAATAGCGGCATTCAGTGGTCACCATAAACTTCACGCACCAGATCGAAGAATACAGATCTGTTTGCAAGAATGGTTTTACACTGAAAATTTAAAATTTCCGTGTAAACATGGTTAAAAGATAAGTTTATGATAAATAAAAGAAGTATACTTAAAGCTACATAGCACCAAGCTGTTTATCGTTTGCCCTGCCGTTTTTCGATCCAATGCTGGATGAACATCACTTCAGAATTTTGCGATAAACTTTTGTATTCTGAAATTCTTAAACGACTTGATTGAATGAACTTCTTCAACTCATATTGCCATCGTTCTGGAGGTCTGCTACGGACCGTT